TTGAAGCACAACTTTTATTATAATTAAAAATCGCGGGAACTATGAAGAAAATTGACAAAGAAAATATTTACAATATATGCCTCTTACACTGCACCTTTTTCTGTCGGAGCCACTGAACTCCCTGACCATGAAAACAAACTTATATTGATGTATACTCAGCAATACAATCCTTTTCCCTCTAACATATCTTATTGAAACCATGTTAAAGTTATTTATTTAATATTATTATTAATCTAATTTGTAATCCATATGCATTGTCAGTTATTTCCATGATGACATTTTTCTGTTGAACAGTGCATGTCTATAATGCACAGGTATATCATTAACCACTTTTAATGAGGTAGACTTACCTTGTATCTACGCAGAGAAATAAGATAATCCCGGTACAGTTAATAAATTATAAAACTGCTTAATGTAAAATGTCTTAGGGAAAAGGGAATTAAATCATATAGATGGCAGGGACAGATATCCTGAACAACTAATTTGTTTGATTATAGCAAAGCAATTTCTATTGTCCCTTTGGATTCATTGAAAGCATGTTTTATCATAGAAAATAAAATCCCCATTTAATATAATACTCTTCATTATAAATATATGTTAAACACTGAAAATCAATAGACACCAATCTCTTTAATATTTTTAAGTATATGAGGAATGCAATATTGATAGTTATTTGCCGGAAAACTTAATAAACAAGTTGTATAATGCATCTGCACTATATGGTTGTGAACTATGGATTTTATCAAAGAAAGAGTTGGTTATGTTGGAGAGAGCGCAAAGATTTATTTTATAAGCAGTTCAAGGTTTTTGCAACAAAAAAACTGACATAGAAAATAAAATCCCCATTTAATATAATACTCTTCATTATATATATATGTTAAACACTGAAAATCAACAGACATATTTATTTGTTTGATCTCCAACATTAGAAAACTTGAATATCATCTGTAATTGAATTAATCAAATTCTAACATAGAGTGTGCAATTATTATTACAAGTCATGTATACATGGCACAGTTTTCTGTCCTTTAAATTGATTTTCCCTGTGTAATATCAAAATATGTAGAATGTATATGAAACAGGCTGGCTTGTAATTGTACGAATCTGACAATGATCTAATAATCAAGAAGTGCTTATGTTACTAATTTTTCATGTAAGAATTGATTTTCCTTATGGAGGACGTTGGAAAAGAGCACTGTATTGTGTGTGAACTGTTATGAGTCAGTCTTGTTTTTGTCTTTTTCGCAATATTCTGTATGGAGTTGATCATGTCAACACTTTGTTAACAAATACAATTTAGTACTCTTCTGGGGCAAGTTCAGTGTACCTTTGACCTTTTTAGCTCTGCCCAATGAGACCTAAGCATGACTTTATGGTCATAGTCTTGTGAAGCTGCTGTCAAAAATTAGAATCTACGTACAATGTATAAATGTAGTTAATTCAAATATTTTTTGTGTGTGCTAAATTCAATTCTGGGCTACAATAAAAATGACAATAAGAGCATAGTCAGAAAATAATTGTTTTTTAATTTGTTTGAAGTTATTTGCTCATAGTATCAATTTATACTGAATTATTGGTTGAGTAAAGAATAAAAGTAGCAACCAACGTTTTATTGCCACTATAAAAATGTATTTTTTTTCTACATATCAAAATACCTCCAAAGTTTTACATCATTGTGGTGTCGCCATCAACGCGAGGCGAAATATAGGTATTACTTTGTCGGCGGTGTTGCATGGCGTTGTCGTCTTCGGTTGCGTCGTCCGAAACCAGGTTTCCGTTTAAAAACTTGAGTTCACCTGTGTTGACTGAACTCAAACTTGGTTCACATATTTCGCATTTCAGAAGTTAACGTGGATTTTTGGTGGAGTTATGCCCCTTGTATTGCAAAATAAGGGCATTGTGTAGTAAATGCAAGAATATTTTTTTTAATTAATTCCTTTCAATTTTTGTATGGTAATGCTAGAAGCAATAATGTTTAACATATGTTACGGGTTTTTCTGTCGAGTTTCAACTTCCCGCGTTTTGGCATATCACACTTGACATAGCAACGCTGTTCCGTTAATGTTTGCTTGTTTACGCGATAACCCAAGCCAAAACACTGTTCTCACTAAAAGCGCTGGGCAGGCGACACATCTACCAATGTGGAATTCTTGTTTAATTTTAAATTCAAATCCTGTTAACTGGTAGTTCTTCTCTGTAGCCATGCTAAGGAGAACATTTCTGTGGTGAAAACCTTACACAGCCATTAATGACAATCATCAAGGCAATTAATATGTCTCTACGCAACTGTTGTTGATTTGTTATAATACAGTTTTGTTTTCTTATAATTTCTGTTGTTTCTGTAATTTGTTTAATTTTGAAATGTTTTATAAGAAAACACATTGGATGGACGATGATCATTTATTGTATATCACCTACTGTGCTGTTTCATATGTTTCCCCTTTCGATGAGTTCTTGAAAGGGATAAAGCATTACCTTAATTATATGTTTGTATATCTTAATGGATCTTAATCAAACTTCATGTCAAGCATAACAATACCTCGAATGAGTTTGTCCAGGTCAAGGTGACCATTTCTTTGTTACCGAACATGTTTGCAATCAGTTTGGCAACTTCATATTTGAATGGATTTTGATCAAACTTCTTACCTTGGGCAAATATAAGAATACCTAAACCAAATACTTTTTCAGAAGGTCAAGGTCACCGATACTATTGATTTTGATCTTATATCATATATTTGTTAAGTATGAAAACAACTTCAAATGGGTTTATCTAAGGTTTTGAGTGCCAAGGTCAATTATTTCATAATTGAAATTTCGATATTGCAATTTTTTCGTTAAATTTTGTAACGGACGAAAACCTCTAAAACATTATGTCGGTGGGTACATACTAAAGGTACCATTAGCTCATTCACCCCCTGAAACTTCATAATGAACTATTCCAACCATTGAATTAGAAGAGTTCAAATGTGTCTTCAGGGGTGAATGAGCTAAATCGGGTCGTTAATGACATAGTCGCAAAATCAAAAACAAAACAACAAAAATAGATTAATTTTTTTTACAATTTATTGCAAACAATATATATATATCTCCAATGTATCACAGAAGTTTGGAAGGAAATAAAACAAGAGTAATATAAAATATCATTTGCCAAAGAAAGACGGATACACGTAGAAACTTAACAGTATAGCATGAACTGTCATATCACACACAAAGCTGCAGGTCAAAACCTTAGCACGTACACAAGTAGCAAAATGTAAAAACATGATCCGCACATTATTGAATTGCCCAAAGCAGGTGAATTCCAAGAATCAAATTCATAAAGACGATTTTTACAAATAAATCATTGGGAGATTTGTTTTCCATTCATGGGATTGGTATTACTTTAATCTAATAAATTTTAGCCGTTTTTTTGTATATTACAACTTAAAGCAAATTCCCCTTCCTAGTTTAAAACAGATTATTTAAAATTTTCTCTTTTGGTCTTTTGCAATGTTTCGCAAATCTACATGGATTTATCCTTGTGTGGTCGGGTGGCACTGTGAAAAGAGCACTCACCATTCACCAAGACGGTCAGAACTAAAAACAAAATGGTCACCTGCCTGACCATGCGCGTTTTCTCTGGGTACTTTGGGTTTCCTGCCACCTTAAAATTATTTGCGCTCTTTTATCCGGACCAATAAGAGTGATTAATTTCATTTGTAAAAACTTGTTTCATAATTGTTGTAAAATAAATGAAATTTGTATAAAAAAAAGTTGTGTCTGATGGTAACAGGACCAAATTTCAACCACACACATGCAAATTGTCCATGTATGAAATTCTACGACAGATAAAATTGTACACATTAACTGTACAAAATGTATGTTGCAAAAACAATAACAATATGTACCTGTAAACTGAAGAAAATCTTTACCTGTACATATCAAAGAGCTTAAAATGCCCATGTAAAGTTATACAGATGCACTTACTATTTTTTGGAAAGAAAATGTGGATAACTAATTTGTGGACTAGTTATCAATTTACCTTTAAAGAAGGTGAGAGGTGAAATGAATTCTAAAACTTTTTCCACTAACAAAAATGCACTTCTAACACACAGGTATATGTCATTAGGACAGGAAAGACAATGTAGCACCAAATGGAAGGACAAGATGTGTATACTACATTGGAGGGTTGTTTGGAAAATAATGAAACAGACGATCCTTATGGATTTGAAACAAAAAGTAAATCATGCTTTGTGAAAGAAAATAATTAAACGGTGCAGTACTTACAGATATTTTTTTTTAAAAAAGGAAAAAGAAAAATAATTCTCGAAATGATTGTTTAATTTTTTGTACATGGCGGTATCATTATTTTGAAAATCAAAATTTTTGAAAAAACAGTAAACGAAATTTATTTAATGACATATATCAAGATTATCTCAAAAACTGGACCTGGATGATGATTTCACAGGATATCTACAATTGTGTTTTAATTTTTTAATTATTTAATTTGATAAACTAATTTCTAGCTATTGTTAGAATATGAAGTACTTACTATCCTAAACAATTACTACACGTAATCAATTCTAATTAATTCCTTCACCCCTGAAATTTCATAATGAACTATTCCAACCTTAGAATTGGAAGAGTTTAAATGAGTCTTCGGGGGTGAATGAGTTAAGGATAGTCTCAAGAGATAGTTTGACAGTGTTTACTAATCCAGTGTACTACAAACTAGAGCTACAATAGGTTAAAATGCTTCCATATTTTAATACTGTAAGTAATTCTTTAAAAATGCTATGAAAATATGTTATGTAAGATATGGTTTATGTTATAAATATGACATCACAAATAATATACACAGGGGCATGACATATAAGATCTAATTTAGTTTTACTTCCCAAGACCCTGTGATATGATAAAAGTGTTTTCAACAATGAATATATGTGACAAAATATTTGATAATAAATAGAGTTGAGCAAAAAGATTTGAATAACATATATATACCTAAATAATGGTAATGTGAAAAACATTGAATACATACCCAAACACGCGTTATGAATTAACAAATAAAAATCAATATTAAGTAACATATTTGACCTGATAAATTGTCTCATCCCGTATTAAGGCTAAATTCAGTAGGACTATTTAATCAAAACACTTCCTTTCCATTTGGCTTTTAATCTTTTAAGTTCTGGAAGTATATTAATTAAAACTAAAGTGGGATGAAAGCATGAAATATTGGATTTTTCACACCGGACAGATATAAAGAAAATATCAAATTCAAAATACACTTACAATTATTATTCCTGTTTTGTTGATTTCTTTAGAATACCAACCATTTCTCATTTAACCCTTTCACCACTGTAAACCATAATGGACTCACCAGACAAATGTATGGTAGAGTCTACTAAAGGTATTTAGGGGTGAAAGGGTTAATCTAGGTTTCTTTGTTCACCGATTTGGTTTTAGTGTCCATTGCAACTTGTATCAAGCTTCGAGAGAGTTCGTTGACCTCACGGTGCTTTTACATATATTTACTTGGCAGGTAATAGCGTCTACGGTAGTATAAACATGTTCAATTACAAGTAAAATACTTATGGAATGGAAATCTGTTGTTTAAAGTTGCTTGGTATATGACATGATAAGATTATCTTACTTTTGTATTTTTTTGTCCTAATTAATTACTCGCATCCAGGCAGTATCTCCACATATTAGTATTTTAACTGATTTGCATGTGGTTAATATTTTTCAATAGTTCTGGATCAGAACAATTATTAGTCCAGGTGAAGGATCTTTTACATCAGAGCCTCGGAGTAAATTCACCAGCTTATACATTTTAACTGTCATTTACTTTCTGTATCATCTTTTTTTTTATTATCTTCACAACTTGAATTCATTATTCCTAGTTCAAAATTCCAAAATTGTTCATACCTGATGAAAAGTTTCTATAAATTTGTTGTTTGTAATGGACAAATCATGTTTTTTGCCACAAGTATTGATCTTTGGATTATTATTACTATTACGAATCCTTCTGACACATTTATATGAAACTATAAACGTCCCTGGCGATTCTGGTTGGATATGTTTATACCCAGCATATATATATACATATCTTTGATATGTCATTTCAGCATTAAAGCACTTTATGTAGCATGTTAATTCATTGTAGAAAACTTTTGCATTTCAGCTATAATCTGCAGATTGTATGTTTCACAACACAGCTGATACAATTCTACTACTGAAGCTGTTAGCATCATCAATTGCAAATAAAGCAAAACTTAACTCATTCACCCCAGAAGACACATTTTAACTCTTCTACTAGTATTTCAAAGGTTGGAATAATTCATTATGAAATTTCAGGGATGAATGAGTTAATTATCAACAAAAGGTAAACATTTTGGCCTCACAAGTCCAGGCTCGGGTGAGCCCTCTCGTACACATGTGTGAGTGTCTGTTACACAGTTCAAGCTTTTCCTGGAGTGTATCTTAGAGTTCCCAGTGTTTCAGCTTGAATACAATGAAGATTCAACACCACTTGCTAACTGTCTTCAATAATCTATATATATACCAATTGTTAGCATAAAAAATAGGTCATTCAAAACCGATCTTTTAAAATCTAGGTCACTGTAACTCAAGTCTTTAACAAAACAAAGATACTGTTCAGACAAATTCAGCATCCGAGTAGTTCAATAATAAATAGCATAATTAAACACGAGTGAAAGTCAGACAAATACTGAACGGCATTATCGGCAATGACTGTACGAGCAGATGTTTTGCCCAGTAAATGTTAAACAGTATGATTTAATACAGATTCTTAGTTTTGAATATTTCTATAAACATTTACACCTTTTTTAGATACAGTTGAGTCGATTGAATCAACAACAGTATGTAACGTAACAAAAATGTTCGCACTAAAAATATTTCTTCTTAGCGGAATTGTAACGTGAATTTCTTGTTTACGTCATCTTTGACCTTAATTCACTCAATGTCAAAGTCTGTTTGTCCATCAAATGAAATATTCCGCTATTCAGTACACAATGGTTCCTATAGAATGAAGGTCGGCTCTGTGTGAAGTTTATAAACAATTGACCATCAATACTGAAGACCAGAAGTTTGTTATAGGCTACGGAGCCTCACTTTAGACTACATGTCCAGTTGATAGGATTGTAGCGCCCTCTATCTCTGTCGGACCGATCCTCCATGAATTTGTTTGTTCTGTTGTTACTCCATCTCTCTTCCATAGTCTGTAAAGGAACAGAACATACATGTAATAATTAACATTGTACAGCTTTTGGATCAATTCCTACCAATTACGACAAACGTGTTATTAAATACCACGAATGTCCAATCAGAGACTGTTCAAACCGTTCCATATCATACTATTTGAGTAATCAAATATTAACCCTGACCTGATATCAAATTCAAATTATGATGGACATTCTTGAATGGTTTCCAATTGATGTTTGTTGCAGATGGAAATGTTAACCTTCTGATTACAATAAATAACAAGGATATATGTAGCTCAGTTTGTTGACTAGCATAAATAACAAGTGGCTTAGCTTTTAATTACCAGAGATTACACTAAATGACAAGGCTGGCTCAATAAGCTTTTGATTACCCTAAATGACAAGGATGGCTCAGCTTTTGATTACCCTAAATGACAAGGATAACTCAGCTTTTGATTACCCTAAATGACAAGGATGGCTCAACTTTTGATTACCCTAAATGACAAGGATGGCTCAGCTTTTGATTACCCTAAATGACAAGGATGGCTCAGCTTTTGATGACCTTAAATGACAAGGATGGCTCAGCTTTTGATTACCCTAAATGACAAGGATGGCTCAGCTTTTGATTACCATAAATGACAAGGATGGCTCAGCTTTTGATTACCCTAAATGACAAGGATGGCCCAGCTTTTGATTACCCTAAATGACAAGGATGGCTCAGCTTTTGATTACCCTAAATGGCAAGGATTGCTCAGCTTTTGATTACCCTAAATGACAAGGATGGCTCAGCTTTTGATTACCCTAAATGACAAGGATGGCTCAGCTTTTGATTACCCTAAATGACAAGGATGGCTCAGCTTTTGATTACCCTAAATGACAAGGATGGCTCAGCTTTTGATTACCCTAAATGACAAGGATGGCTCAGCTTTTGATTACCCTAAATGACAAGGATGGCTCAGCTTTTGATTACCCTAAATGACAAGGATGGCTCAGCTTTTGATTACCCTAAATGACAAGGATGGCTCAGCTTTTGATTACCCTAAATGACAAGGATGGCTCAGCTTTTGATTACCCTAAATGACAAGGACGGCTCAGCTTTTGATTACCCTAAATGACAAGGATGGCTCAGTTTTTGATTACCCTAAATGACAAGGATGGCTCAGCTTTTGATTACCCTAAATGATAAGGATGGCTTCGATTTTCATTACCATAGGTGACAAAGACATTTCAGCTTTTGATTACGCTAAATATATATATATAACAAGGATGCATGGCTTAGCTTTTGATTACCAGAGATTATTAGAAATAACTAGGATGGCTTAGCTTTCGACTACCATAAAAAACGAGGATGGCTCAATTTTTGATTCCTTGAATTTTTATCGCCTTAAATGATAAATGACAATTAAGGGGCTAGACTTCCGATCATAAAAAAGCAGTTTGGGAATTTTATCACAAAAAGTTTAACGCATATTTATGGTAAATGACCAAAGATGGATAACCTTTTGATTACGGTAAATGACAAGGATGGTTTGCCTTTTCAGATTTGCAAAGATGGTCGAAGTTATACAGTGCAACTTTTATCACTCAAGTATGATGTTTGAAGTTTATTATCGTAGAACCCACCTGTTTGTTAGAGTCGCGGAAAGTCTGTAGATAAGAGTGTTTCTTAACAAAAGCATCTTTGTCTTGAATCTTGTCATTATCATCTTGAGCTAGAGCCACTTCACTCTCCTTTTTCTTCTCCTTTACATTCTTCCTCCGTTTGTCTTCAGTGTCAGCCATCTGCTGCTTGAGTACATCTCGGAAGTGTTTCCTGTTGGACAAAGAGCCAGATTTATACAATGGTGACTACAAGCACATACACAGTAGGGAATTGTTGACACAGGTTTTAATGTACCGAAAATTGAATGTTGACATGTCGATACTTATAGTTGTTGGGTTTCAGCATTTAATATGTACAGACAATTAAATGTGGACATTTGTCAGAATGTAGAGATGACTCTGACAATGATATTAGGTTTCAATGTACAATAAATTGAATGTTGACATCTTAGAATGTAGAAATGATTGTTGACAGTTTTTCAATGTACAAAAAATGAATGTTGACATCTTAGAAATGACTGTTGACAGTTTTTCAATGTACAAAAATTGAATGTTGACATCTTAGAAATGATTGTTGACAGTTTTTCAATGTACAAAAATTGAATGTTGACATCTTAGAAATGATTGTTGACAGTTTTTCAATGTACAAAAATTGAATGTTGACATCTTAGAAATGATTGTTGACAGTTTTTCAATGTACAAAAATTGAATGTTGACATCTTAGAAATGATTGTTGACAGTTTTTCAATGTACAAAAATTGAATGTTGACATGTCAAGATGACTGTACATGTAGTCAGTTGTTGACATGTTAACATGTAGAGATTTCTCTTGATAGTTCATTAAAAGATTTACAGCACAGCGAACCTTGGCAACACATTACTAGATTTAACATGACTAGAGGTAAATATTACCATATTACTAGCACTCCATAAACTTTCATCAGTAAAGATATCAACAAAGCTTTACCTGTCTAAAATATCCCAAAAATCAATAATATTCTGCAGTCAGCTTTAATGTGATTGAAGGTAAATTTTTAGTTTGTCTTCGGATTATTTAAGGATAAAGTGTTACATGTCGGCGTCTTCGTAATCAATATTTTGTGTGTACCTGGTTTATATACAAATCTGTACCCTACAATATCTTGATGTTGAAATTCAACTGCTTAAATGACATTCAAAATTTCGATTGTAAAATATTGTTAATATCTTGAAATATCTTAAGAAAAGCAACCTGAAAATACAAATATTTTCAGAATATGTTACTAAATAAAATACAAAGTTAGTACACATAAACTTAGTACACATTCATGAGTGTATAAGAAATTCCTCCGACATGTCCAGAGTATCACACAACACTAGTTTTACCTACAACCTGACCTATTTAACTACTTACTTGTCGTAAATGAATTTACTGCCCATTTTACACCGTCAAATTCAACTCCTCATAAAATTCCCTGTGAAAACTGTTTAAGGGTAAGATTTGACTCCCTGAAGTCAGTTTTTTACGTGAATTCTGCGGTCAACAGACCCAATATATAGAGGGTGGGTATATATCCGACCACCAGGGACTGAGTACATACAGGCCTCCACTAGGACATACATACATAAAGAGATGGGCTATAGGTGCCCTAGCCTGTATTTAATTTGAATAACAGATCTTTAGTAATGTGTTGTCATCCAAAAACGGGTGCCGAAAAAACAATGGTTACAGGGCGGCACGTCGGTATGTTAAGGTTTTTTTTCTTCGACAGCTTTGTTTGATCAACACTTATATCAACATGACTCAGTTCCGTTCCTGATTAAACGGCCACAAGAGTATAATAGGTATATCTCCAATCAGTTTTTATAAGAGATCAATTAAAGTTTATATCGGGTCAATCTGTGTCAGGTTTTGATTAGTTTGAATGCCATCGAACACATTGAGATCAAAATGTCCATTGTGGAGAGACAGCCTGGGACCACTCGGTGCTTGGTTTAAAACATACCACAATCAATCTAGACTGACACAAGCTGAATCATGTACAGATACTCGTGTTTTATATAGTAATTATTGTACACTATTGTAGAGTGCAGCTGGTATTTAAGGGCTACAGTTCTCTATAGAAAGAAATCTTAAACAAAAAATAATTAATTTTTTTTTCAATGCTATGATTAATTAATGATAGAAACCTTTATATATAGATATATGGGGGAAATCGAAATTCTACCCTGGAGTGTAGAATTCTACTCTTTTTTTCTCCAATTTACCTTTGAATCAGGATTTTGGTAAAAATTGACTCTGACATTTTTGATATTACAATAAGTATAGTATATCATCTTCATAAACTTTAAATTCACCATACTGTAAAACTGTAAAGATAAAACTATCTTTCTTAAAGATATATGGTATGACCCACAGGCACTCCCATATTGAAGAATGAAAGCAAGGTCACAGAGGTCAATTTCAAATGTCAAAATCCAAAACATTTTGCACAATGTGTTCTACTCATAAAGGTGCAGAAGCATGTGAATGTATGTGACCCTAGCTACACTGCTTTGTCTGTAACTGACCTAAATGCAAGAACTAAATAAAGGCCATAGAGGTCAAGGTCAAAGGTCAAGGTCACACAAAAAGTTGAACAACATATTCTTCTTTTAAAGGCACATAAGCATGTGAAGTGGTACGTGTGATCCCAAGCTACAGTGCTTTAAGTCCATAACTGACCTAAATACAAAAACTTAAAACGGCTAGATGTACAAACAATTGTAACATGATATGCCCCGCACCACTTCTTGGCCGGACATGAAATTGTTCATGAATAAAATGTTTTAAGAACTAAATAGTGGAGCATTATACTGCTGCAAGGAACAACAAAAAAAATGAATGTTTTTAAAATGTTCCCAGAACGGTTCTAGAACAAGTTCAAGATCAACTGATCTAGATGTTCAAGATCTAAACTAGAACTGCAGCTGATCATAAGAACAGACTTTTACATGGGAGGACAATTAGAGGGCAATTAGAGGGCAATTAGAGGACAATTAGAGGACAATTAGAGGACAATTAGAAATTTCTCTTTCAATTATGAATTAATGTTTCACAAATATCATCAGGAATTGACATACAAGTAACTCTCAAATAACAAGTATTTACAAGTTTTATTTATAAAACAAAACCATGAATACCTGTATCAGATATAAGATATAGGAAGGTTTATAGGGAACTCAAGAGGATCAAGTATGTCCCCTGGTGTCAAAATGTTGAATGTCCTTTTGAATATCTGTTCAGTGTTAAAACCTTTAGAAAAACACAGTGGCAGCAGACGAGTCGACTTTATGTGTATGACACAGAGTTATATACATATGTATGTGATCAAACTGTCTGAATATATATACAGCTATTCAATGTTAATACAGATTTCAATAGAGTGTATTTTAATGATTTTAAATCAAGCATGACAAAATGAGTCCTATCTTTATCTATTTCGATGTTCCTATTCATATGAATTATATCTGTATGGTTTATTCATAACAGTTAATTTATCCTGAAATATTGCATTACATGTAATATCATTGATAATTTTCTCGACTCTAGTATTTGCAATGGAATATATCAATGTGACAGGCTTTTTAACATGCTGTGAGACAAGTAAAGGGGGGTTGTCTGCCCTTGGTTAAGCTCTTTACAATACAGATGTGTGAAAGTATATGTGCGTTAAATTTATTCATCAGAAAATCATTAAATATAAAGTTTGACTTTTAATTAGAATTGAATTGCTCTGAGAGCAACGTACATATTTCCTATAAGTGTTTTGATATTTTCTGTCTCTCTAGAGAATAATTACCAAGTTTTTAAATTTCTTAGGTGTTACTGTGTAAATGTATGCAGGTCTGCATCAGACATTTCAGTGGATTATTCATGATACTGGATTTTTAGATACATGTATGGGAACATAGCATTTATGAATCCACAGAATAAAAAATAACAGCCATTTTAACTATTTATATATGAAAAATAATGTATTACTGAAAATATCAAAATTTAAAAAAATAAATAAAAAATTAAACCAAAAATAAATACCCCAGGTATTAGAAATATATTACATGAACGAAATGTAACGTTATTATGATAATCCTGAGTGAACTTTATAGAGTGCTGTTCCTTCCATATATATATATTATATATAAATATAAAGTTACTGTGTGTATTGTTAATGAAACAGTTATATAATATTACTGTTTCATTAGTAATAATACACAATATAATTTTTTGAGGCAAGGTTTTTAATTTCTCATAATGACCAAATATTTTACCCCTTCACGTACCACTGTAGACCATAATGGACTTATCCAAATCAATGCATGGTCGAGTCTACTAAAGTTACATAGGGATGAAAGGGTTAAACCTTAGATATGTTACTGTTATGCTGATTGGAGCTGCCACAGCAAACATGCATACATATTTTTTGTTTGTTTTGTTTGTGATTTATTATCCTGACGCAACAGCCAGGGTCATATGAGGACGGGAACATTATCAGTGTTAACCATGAAGCATGTTTTTGATATGAATGACCATGACAATTGAAATAATATCCTTCACTCCTTAATATATCTATATACATGTATTGATTTATCAGGTGTGAGTTCACAGGGACATGAGAATTTGTTACATGTAGCTATATTTGGACCTTAAAACTTAAGTGCTAAATTAAGAGTATATTTACACATTTGTAAATGCCACCCCAAATGATAATACTGAAAATTGATCTAAACCCACCAAACATGTAAAATGACTTTAAACACCTTAGTTTAGGTTCAAGTAAAGCTGTAACAAATTCTTAGGTCCCTATGCTTCACAGTGGGTTATAGGTTTTGCTAAAGTTGTCTATCTTGGACTAGCTAGTGAGTCAGAATGGGTTGTAGTCTGTGCTTGAGTTGTCTACCTTGGATCAGTCAGAGTGGGCTACAGTTGGTGCTTGCATTGCGATACATTATGTAATAATTTTTCAATACAAACACTGTTTCACTTTATGTCCAAAAGTGAATACATTATACCTCCTTACTTAATTAAAGACAGGTGACATAAAGTTATTTGACAAATTTTACACTTAGAAGTTCAAAAGATATGGAATTATGCTAGCATGATTTTTCAAGAATATGGACTCACATTAATAGTATTCCGATATTTATTAAATCTCAAATCAATTTTCATTAAAAAAAAACTAAAAGTAATGT